ACGGGATCCCTTTGAAATTTACAGCAGTCTATGGCCCAACCTCTTCTTCCCTCAGGAGCAAGCTTTGGTCTAAACTGGGACATGTAGCTTCCCTCTCACACCCCATTTGGTGCTTGGGAGGGGACTTCAATGTCACTCGTTGGTCCCAAGAGAGAAATTCCTCAAATTCTATTTCTCCGGAAATGAGGGATTTCTCAGACTTCATCAGCCGGACTGAGCTTTTAGACATCCTCCTCCAGGGCAGTCGTTTTACTTGGTCCAACCACGCTTCCAACCCCATTCTCTCAAAATTAGAGGTTCCTCTTGTCCTTGGACTGGGAGGACCATTTTCCAAGATCCTTGTCTTTAGCCTTTCCAAAACCCACCTCGGACCATTGTCCCATTTTGCTTGACACAACTGCCATTCTGAGAGGTCTCAGGCCCTTCAGATTTGAACTCCACTGGCTCCTTGAAAAGGACTTTCCTACCCTTATGCAAACCTGGTGAAACTCCCCTGCCGCTCAGGTCTCGAGCAGAGCAGGGTATATCCTCTAGACCAAACTTCAAATCCTTAGAACCTCGATCAAAACTTGGAATTGATCCATCCCTGGCAATTTTTCCAAACTCAAGTCTTCCCTGTTGAATACCATCCAAGAGGTTGATCAGCTCGAGGAAACTAGGCCACTGGAACCCTTGGAGATTGACCTCAGATCTAAGTCTAAACTTGAGTACCATTCAACTCTAAGAAAATAAGAGATCTACTGGTTCTAGAGATCTAGAATCACCTGGTTGAAAGCAGGTGATCAGAATACTGCCCTTTTTCATCGCATTGCAAATTGTCGCAGGAGAGACAATTCGATTTCGATGATTCAATAACAAACACCTCACTCAACTTGCTAAGATAGAGCATGCAATTTTAGAGTTCTTCCAGACTCTATACTCTGCCCCCTCTGGCCTTATACCGAGAATGTCTTCCCTTGACTTCCTTACCCTCACAAACGAAAAAGCGATCTGGCTAGAGCAACAGTTCACAGAGGAAGAAATTTTATTGGCTATCAATGCTCTAGCCAAAGACAAGGCACTGGGTCCTGACAAATTCCTGATTGCTCCCTTCAAGGAGTCTTAGGACACATTTCGTCCTGACTTCATCAAATTTTTCGAGGAATTCTTCCATAGGGGTACTCTACACAAAGCCATTAATGCAACCGTCATAGCTCTGGTTCCCAAAAAAGAAGGTGCTGAGGAAATCAAAGATTTCCACCCCATTAGTCTCCTGAATTCTTTGTACAAGATCCTGGCTAAAGTCCTAGCCTTCAGACTCCAACAAGTCCTTCCCTCAGTTATTTCTTCAACACAATCTGCCTTTCTCAAAGACTAACAAATTCTTGATGGGCCCTAGTAGCTAATTGGTGTATCCACTCGAGGCACCTGGCTAAGAAACCTGGCCTTATTTTCAAAATTGATTGGGAGAAGGCATATGATCATGTGGCCTGGTCAATTCTTGATGAGACGATGGCTAGAATGGGTTTCCGAAATAGATGGAGAATGTGGATGAGAGGTTGCTACTCACATCCACATTTCTCTATTCTTATCAACGGAACCCCAAAAGGTTTCTTCCCTTCTTCAAGAGGTCTCCGCCAAGGAGACCCCCTTCCTTTTTATTATCTCGGTAGAGGTCTTTAGTCGCTCCATCTCCCGGCTCTATGAGACTGGTTTGCTGTCGGGCTTCAGAAGTAGTTCACACGGACCAACGGTGTCTCATCTGCAGTATGCAGATGACACTCTAGTGTTTATTGATGCCGCCTGCAATGAAGTTGAAACCCTCAAACTCTTCCTTAGGTGCTTCCAAACAACGACTGGGTTCAAAGTTAATTTCGATAAATAAAAAATGATGGGTATAGCCCTTACACCAACAGAGGCCAGATCCATCATTCTAAGGTGGGAATGTAAAGTGGAGGACTTACCGACTACTTATCTAGGCCTACCCCTGAGACTGGGTAAACCCAAGAAAAGGCGATGGTCCCATGTCCTAGACAAGGTAGACAGACGTTTGGCAGAGTGGAAGGGTAGATTTCTCTTTATGGCAAGTAGAAAGACTTTGATCAATGCTACCATTGCCAACTCCCTGATTTACCTCATGTCTCTATTTCACATGCCAGCCCAGGTTGCCAATCAACTTGACCAGACCATGCATAATTTCCTCTGATCGGGCCAGGCGGATAAGACAAAGTTCCATCTTGTAGCATGGGACAACATTTGCTTATCCAAACAGCAGGGAGGACTTGGTATTCGAATCCTTTGTAAACATAACCAGCCACTCCATGGGAAATGGTGGTGGCGTCTAGCCACTCAGCTGAACTCCCTTTGGGCCAAGGTCCTACGAAAAAAGTATATCTTAGAAGGTGCTTGGTTGCCTCCTAGAAGTCACTGGCACAATGCTTCAGGGGCCTGGAGATCTTTTGCCTCGGCCCTTTCCTAGTTCAGAAAGTTCATAAGATATCACCCTAGAGAAGGCTCTAGAGTGAGATTCTGATCTGACTTGTGGCTAGGACCCTCCCCTTTGAAAGAGGTGTTCCCTACCCTCTACTCTCTGGCTCAAAACAAAGAATCCTCAGTTGCAAAGGAGAAGGTCCTTACAGGGGGACAGAGAGTATGGAACCCTTCATTCCGAAGGAATCTTACTGATGAGGAATTTAACCATTTTCAATCTCTCTCAACCTCTCTTCACTCCCACTTCCTATCGCCTCAAGGAAGCGATGCTATCACCTGGACGCTAGCTCCCTCTGCCATCTTTTCGTCTACAATGGATTAATTCTACCTCCTACTCTCCCGGCTAACCCAACAGCAATCAAATCCAAAGTTTGGGCCACCATTGCTCCTCCAAAAGTCCAAACTTTCAACTGGCTCGCATGCTCCCATAGAGCTCTCACCGTGGATCAACTTCAAAAGAGAGGAATCCCGCTCCCCAACAGGTGTGCCCTATGCTTATGCGAGGAGGAAAAGAGAGGAATCCCGCTCCCCAACAGGTGTGCCCTATGCTTATGCGAGGAGGAGTCGAACCAACATTTGTTCATACTCCGTGACTTTACTTTCGACCTTTGGGGTCAAGTATTGCAACTTTTTGGCATACAATGAGTCACCCCCCTTTCGGTCAAGGCCTTGATCACTTATGATCTTGACTCATGTTGGCCTAAGGCAGGAAGATTGTTATGGAAGGCAACTATTGCAGCAACCATATGGTCCATTTTGTTGGAAAGAAACCTGAGAATCTTCCAAGGAGTTTAACTTCACACACCAGCTCTCTTTCACAAGATTATCTCTTTGGTTACCTTTTCGGCCTCCAATCACAAGTTTTTTTCAGGAATCCCAGGAAATGTTTTCCTCACCCAATGGATCAATGTTCTTCACCACCATCCGAGAGTGGTGACTAGACCTCATACTTGGCAACCACCACCCCAAGGATGCATCAAACTGAATTTCGATGGGTGCTCCATAGGGAACCCTGGCCCGGCAGGGGCTGGGGGGGGCGGGGTCTTTCGAGACCACCAAAGCAACGTCCTTCTAACCTTCTTAGAGAACATTGGGATAAAGGACTCCAATCATGCCGAAGCTCTTGCCCTCCTAACAGGCTTAAAACTCTTCGATACTTCCTGGGGCCCTTCTATTGCTAGTAGAAGGAGACTCCTATAATGTTATCTCCTGGGCAAGGAGAACGAGCTCACCACCGTGGTACTTAGCCTCATTGTTTGACGAAATTGATCATTTATGCAGGGATATGGACGTCTCCTGGAGGCATATTTGGAGGGCGTCCAACGACATTGAAGATCTATTGGCGACAGAGGGTGCTAGAAGCCAGGGCCAAGGACAAGCGCTACCTGGGTCGGACTCCTTTTTTGCTCAGGACCAAGGGCTCACGACTTCATATGGCTCGCTTTTTTGGTTTTTCCCTCTCAATGTATTTTTGCAAAAGCTTATTGTAAATTGTTGTAGTTGGGTGGCCTTAAAAGCCTTTTTTGTATATGGTAGGCTAGCACCATTTTTTACCGAGTCACCCTTCTCTAGGGTGATCTCGGACTTCAATGTAGCTCTATGCCAGTAATACAATGTTAACATTTATCAAAAAAAAAAAATGATTTTAAGCAAGCTAGGCATGATAGATATCTATGCACCAGCTTGAGGAGGAGTGTTGTGAATAATTAAGTTTTTTCCTCTATGTGTTTTTGTTTTAAGGCCTTGTGGACTGTTTTGTCATTTCCCTTGAGGCGTATTTTTGTAATTGCACTTTTTATAATAATAATAAGAGTACATAAGTGAGGGGCGTGGGATGTAAAGAACACCACACATGACTCTCTTTTGGTTCCCCTCTTCATCACGTGATCGCTCTCTATCTCTCTTTCTCTATCACCTTCTTTCTCCTAATTCTTGATCTCTATTATACACTTTCTGGATTCTTAACCAACTCGTGTGATGTATTCTATCAAAAGGTTTAGGGAAGAAATTATATAGGATTTGGGGCATTCAAGATCCCAAACTATCTCTCAATTTTGAGATGGGAACCCATAAAAGAGCCTTATCTTTCAACAAGTAGTAGGAGATTGAGGGCTCAAATACTACTAGAAAAAGGCTATATAGGCACAGTGGGGATGAAGACTGACTCTCACGGATGCCTAATGACTAAGAGGAAATCACATCAAAGAGTGTGCATACACTTATTTGAAAGCATGAGGCCAAAAACAAAACACTCGAAAGCATAAACATTCGAAGCCATATGAGATAAATCAATACACCTTTGGGCCTCGTGATTTGCATGGTGTAAATACTTTATTACACATTGTCTATTTCATCTCTATTAAATTTTCATCCATATTAATAAAATGGGTGGTGTACCCATGCAAACCCCAGCTAGCACATGCATGCACACACACACACACACATACACGCTATGACTTCCAATTTGAATCACTATGCATATGATAAATACAGTATCATGACCCCAAACCAATAAAGACTTCATCACTTACAGCAAGAAAATTCTCATTGAAAACCTCCAAACGGCCAGTATAGTACATGTATGTAACCTGAAATTGGAAGCAAAAGAAATTCAGATGTGACTTCTTACTGGTTTTTCAAGAAATGAAGGAGAGAAAAAATAAAGGACACGACAATAAAGCACCTTGTCTCTGGTTGGGAATTCCTCAAAATCAAAAATACGAGCAGTTTCAATACTCCTTATTACACTTCGACAAAGGTGAACGGTTCCAAGCTGCAAGATAATATTATCATCACGGATTCAATATGTAAAGAATCTCATGTGTAAGATTCTTGAATTCGGTCCATTTTAAAGTCAAATGCATTTAAAATCTAAAAATCCCAGTTTCTCCGGAAAAGAAAAATTAATGACCCAGTGAAGGAAATGAGGAGAGAATGCATGAGAAATGACCTTAAAATACACTTTTAACAATTGGCAGGTAACATATAATGCACCCACACGTTTGGGACCTTTTCCCTGCAAAATTTATAATGGTTAACACTTAATAGATAAGACAACAAAACCATGATAATCAAAGTTTTAGGCCATATTCTTTATTCAGGGATGAAAATTACTAGAGAAGTTTTAATATATTTCTGAACAAGCAAAAGTTAAAAGAGAAATAGCAAACCTTCTGAATGACAAGAAGTCTCGTAATTCTATTCAACCATGTGATTCACAAAGATAATGCACAGAGGTCCAATACGCATCACCAACCTTTCTAAGTGATCTCTTACAGCCTTTATCACGACAATGCATCCGTAATTTAGATAATCAGAGACCTCATAGTAACTTCATTCTATTAGATAATCAGAGACCTCATAGTAACTTCATTCTATCTATAACCTTTTTAAGGTTGATGAGTATTTCTTTCTGGTATGAAAGCCTGGGTTCCTTCACATATAAAGAAATCAAAGCTGAACCAAAAATATATATATCAATTTTCTCATCAATGTTAAATGAGCACCAAGGATTAATTTTTCAGCCGCTACTTCGGGCTATTGGGGAGAAATCAGCTCACAAAGCTCATTCTTGTGAAATTTTTCTTATAGGGTTACCAGGAATCTGAAGATCTTTGCGGTGCGTTCTTTAACACAAGTGAATCAATTTTAATTTGTTAACAATTGAAGGTGATTCTCCTGAATTTCAAAGTCCACTAAACAATTTGGTGATTATAAAACTCGAATCTGATGACTGTCAAGTCCACAAACTAAAAGACACATCAATCTAAAGTGTATTGGTATCATTAATTTTATACAAGAATTGAGCCGTTTTGTGGTTCGTGTAACAGTTCTGACCTATTTATTTCTCTTTTATCCTAGAACTGTTGTGAGGAGGAAACTATCACATCAAGTTGCTTCAAAGCGAAGTCAACACTGAGACAAACATTAAGGAAGAGAAGACATAGGAAAGGGAACAAAGAACATTAAACTGGATATTTCACACCCATAAAGAGTTCAGACCTCCTATGTCTAGCACATGCTAGTGAGTCTGCTATGTCCTCAGCCGTTCCTGTTATATGCTGGAAATAATTGGCTTATCAAGGCAAAGATCATGAATCTCCTCTAAAATATTGGCAAGCTTCCATGACGGGAGCCCTCCCCCCACCCACCCAATCACAATTAAGGAATCACCTTCAATAAGGGAGCCCATGAAAGATTGGAAGAAAATGTGTATCCCTGCAACGGGGCCCATAGCTTCAGCTCAATTAGCATCTGCTATCGCAGCTGGGCCAATGAAAATGCAGTAAGTCCTAGGAACATATATAAAGAACAGATAGGAGATGCTATAGTTTCCTCCTGGCTTCTAATAATTCGCCCAACACAAAAAGGGACCAGGATTACCAATATAACTTCCATCAAAAATGATTTTGAAGATTCCAACAGGTGACTCAGACCACGAAACTGGGATGGTCCCATACCCTGCTGTTTGGCACCTCATACCATTGTCTAAGACCTATTTATTTATGCAACCAAATCGTGTGAACCTTCATCCAACAACATCAAGAGCATCTTACGTAAGACCTCAAATCCATCCACCAATTGAGATGCCAATGGAACTACAAAGTTTGGGATGGTTTTCTATATTAAATCATCTTTAGTGGTCTTATGCTATTAGGATGCTTCAAATTGGAGGTCTAAATTGGGGTCATATAGATGGTACTAACCAAAAAGCAAATATCATGCATCACAAATACTCATAAAGATTTAAGTATAAATCATTATTGCCTCGTTGTTGAACAGCACAGATGATACTATTTCATAAAGTGTAGCAAGATTAAGAACGGAAAATGCGATATAGAAATATTTGTAAAATATTCATAGCTAGGGGAATAATGCCAAATTTTTAGTAGGAACTAGATTTGGTTGGCATTGAACAAGGTGAATTTTTTGTCAATGCACTTAGTGCTGGGATTTGGTGCCTTTAAAGGCCATGATAGCATGTAAATACAAAAAATTATAATGGATTTTGCACTTCAGTGGGAGTGTGTGTTGGTGAAGTGACCTAGGGTTGGGTAGTCCATGGCTCGGACATGTGCAAAACCCTTTTCCCTTGGCAGAAGCACCATCATTGAGCATTTATAGAATCTGTCGTTAAAGTCAGAAAGGTGCCTAGGGACATTGTTTGTAGGCCAGGAGCACTTAGTGGTCTCATGTGTGTGGATGTATGTTTGTGAGAGTGAGGGCCAAATCCTCAACAAAACATTCGCATGGCATGTACATATGACAACAACATTTTTGAGAAGCAATCCAATAGAGGTATATGTCTACACGCGCATAGAGAGAGCCCCTTTTTGTACTATAGTGATATGTGCAGTTGACTTGCCCTTAAGGGGGGATCCTGTAATCCACATATTAGGACTATAGTTTCACTGTTTATTGCCAACTTTGACAGGCCAATCATGAGCCCCTATACTTGAATGTTGGTCACGAGTCTCGTTGAGTTGGTTTGAGAAGACAATTGTAGATCATGATCCGGGCACCGATGTAGTGCCCTGACTGTCACCAATATTTGACCTATATGATACCAATCCACTTCTAAAATAGTATTTATGAAAGTTTTAAATTTTTTAATAATTCCAGCAATATAGTTTCCAACTAAATAAGTGCTTTTGTGATTTTTTGGATATTTCTTAGAATTCTAAAATTGACTTTAAATGAATAGAAACCCCGAAGGTTCTATAATTTTTCCACGAAGGTATTTTAGAAAATAGTGAATAACCCACTTTGTTTTTTAGGGAAGGGGGGGGGGGCATCGGAGCCTAAGGACCATGGCCCCACACATGTGGAGCTCCCATGGGTGGGATGTGGGGCGGTCACATGCCCACACATAAAGAATATTTTTTCTTTTTATTTTGAAAAATATTGTCTTTGGTTGAAAGATCTTGTGAAAATCTTGGTTGATTTATCCTAAAATATTTTCTCAGCGAAAATTATTTTATGGGATTTGGATGATCTTTGCTAATTATTTATTTTAAAAGTTCCTAGTATCCCTTTTGCAAGATAAACGGAATTTTGTAAATAAAGAGAAGTTACAGAGAGAATAAGTATTCCAAATAATTCTCAATGTTTCTAAAAGATTTGTTTTGATTGGTCAAAAATCTTCTTTGATTAGAAGTGGATATAGGTCAAATCTCAGGGGATAAGGTTTTTAAATATTCAATCTAGATCATGATGACTGATCTTAAAGATGAATACTCAGAGAGATCTTGGAGATGAATACTCAGATTAATTCTCTCTCACCTCACAAATTACGTAAATATTATAGTTATTGTTGAATCCAGATTTGATGACATCATCCTAGTCTTAGAGGCCTATATAAGGAGGGGTTCTCCCCTCATTCTCTCTATATACATCAGTTCTCTCTCCTTCACTCTCTCCTCTCCATGCCACACTCTCCATCGCTCTCTCCAGGCAGAACGCCACCCCTTATAAGCGTCTAGGGTGGATCGCATTTATAAAGAGAGGTAGAGGGCATGCCCAGCCCTAGGTTTTAGATAAGGGAGGTGCCATCTTGTGGCATGCCCTAGGTGAAAAAGGATTCTTTGTGAAACCCTGATTGTGATATGGAATTAAGTGCGCCATCGATCAGGTGATAGGGTGTGGGGTGTTCTAAGTCCTAAGGTAGTAACCCTAGGTAACAAATCAGTAAGTATTCCCATTTATTTTAATTTTATTTTTCTTGTTCTTAATTCAATTTTTTTGTTTTCCTAAATCTTTGTTTGGGCACGAAATCGAGCTGCGTTTATTGCAATGCGATTGTGACGGCATGCTCAGTGCAATTCAACGAAAAAACTAAGGAAATACATCAAGAAACAAGCGCACTATCGATCTGAAGTTTTCAAGTTTCATACAAATTTCAAGTCGCATGATCGTGGCCTAAAAACACGATCCTTGGCTCGAAGTTAGTATCAAATTGATCGTCATGCCGAGCCCAATGAAAAAGTAATCATCTGTTGGCCATGCGAGCGCCGGAGCAATCCCGAATCATTCTAGGAAAATCGCACATATTCTATGGGTGAAGCAGGGACTGTTTCAAAATTTTGTGTATTGTTGGGCAGGGGCAAAAATCCATTTTTAGATTTTATTAAATTGTATTTTTTAGCAATTAGGGTAAATTCTGAGCATCCACCCATGTTTTGGGCCAACCTCTATATATATCACGCTATATCTCATTGTAAAAGGCTTCAACTAATTGAGAGTTTTAGTCTTGAGATTGTGGCACGTCTTGGAGAGAGAGACGAGAGAGAAGAAAAGATCCGGTACCCCTAGGTGTAGTCTTGAGATTGTGGCACGTCTTGGAGAGAGACGAGAGAGAAGAAAAGATCCGGTACCCCTAGGTGAAGGTAATTCTCTATCTCTTCTTTCTTTTTCTCCTCTTCTTTCTTTCTCTCTCTACACAGCAACACATTTCACTTGGGCCCCCCTACCCCACTTGGAAGGCAGGGGCTTGGGTATAATTTGCAATTGCAAGAGCTTCAGCCCCTTTTAAAGACCCATGGCCACCCTTTCCTTCCCCAAATTTACGATGTGGGTCTAATCACTTTACTTTAAGAAAATGATACCACACATAGAACGTGTTGGTTACCTAGTGATATTTTGACTCTCTCTCTCGATTTCGAACTCGCACTTGAGTTAAAAACCAAGGCTTGCATGGTTGAGTCGCTCTAAAACTACATTGGTTCTTGCTCTCTCTCACTAGCTAAAACTCTTATTTGTTCCCACACTCTCACTAAATTACTAGATAGAGAACATTTACTCTCTCTCTCTCTAAATTACTAGGTACAAAACATTTACTGCAATGGTTACCCTTACATAGTTCATATGCGTTATTATTTTGGAGGAAGAAGAAATGATAATTGATTTTGTAAAATAATTGAAGCCTGCCTTCAATTATTTTACAAAATCAATCATGGCTTTTAAAATTTATTTTTTATTTTAATTTAAAGGGCTTCAATTATTTTACAAAATCAGGCT